GCTTCTATGAATGCATTGAAAGACTCTCTTATCTCTTATAACCACAGGGATATGTTTCTGAGTATTGAACCCAAAGTAAAATTCTGTAGGTGGCTGAATTACAAAGCAAACTCAACTTCCAAATTCCCAGGGTCTCTTTTATTAAAATCCTGGAACTGATTTAGAAGGAAAAGGATTTTGAAAGTTAGAATGGTGACATGTAGGCAGATCTTTATAAAACTGGGTACCTCAAACTCCTAAATTGGGTCAAGCCTTTTCTGCCAATGGAGGCAGCCTTTTCAGCCCTGCCTGAGGAGGTCAGTCTCCTTTCAAGTAAAGAATGTATAATGTCCTCTTCTGAGGTAGTTGTCTTGCAATGTACTGCTGATCTTCCTCACAACCTACTCTTAACACCTTTCCTTGCTTTTAGACTGACTTACAATCAGACTCAGGCCCCAGATAGAAGAGGCACATAGTGTTACCTTGAGGAAGGATACACAAATCAAAAGAGTTGGATGATTTTGACAATATATACTAGTAGAAACCTGAAAACTATCTGTGGGACTGAATCCAAACCATAGAATACCAATAGAGAAAGAACGTAAAGTTGGATTGAGCTGAATGTATTGCTATCAGCCCACTAAGCAGATAGTCTATATTAAATATTTTAGTTTCAGTAACTAGGAAGAGCGCCCACAGATTGCTTGATCAGATGACTGAAATATGGATCCAAACGCAATACCAACTGAAGATGAAAGGTCAGAACTTCCTTTCCTTGCTGTCAAGAAAGGCATCCAAATACTTAGGGAAACTTGAAACTTGACTGCTTGAGTGAATTTATCATATAAGATATGCTCACCCAATGCAGGAGGGACCAGAAAATATGACCTTCACCATAGCTGTATGAAATAAATGTATGAGGGAAACCCAGCACCCTAGAAGAGCTCTGCAGTGTGAGATCAACATAATGGAGCAATACTAACTTTCTCCAAGAGTGTATGGAAAAAATATACCAATGAGGTGAACTTGAAGTTTGATCTCATAGGTTGAGGAGAGAAATTAAAGGAAAAAAAAATGCTGAACACATAACCAAGAAAGAGAGAACAGTGTATGTGCCAAGCCTTGGAGAAGAGGAGGTGTCATGTATCGTCGGGATTGACAAGGAGGTTTTGTTATTGTAACACAGACACGGTTTAGGCAGCAGCATGGGATAAAGGAGAAATGTACACAGGATTAAGACTGATCACACCTGCATTCATTTTCCAAGCACTTTGGATTTATGCAAAGGTCAGTGTGTGGGAGGAGAGAGGACAAAAATGTACTAAATGATAGGTACAAATCTTTGGCATCACACACTCAGGTATGCTATGAATGTGATGTATTTTTCTGCAGTTCACTTTAATTTGCTTATATGCTTGCCTTCCTTTGGGTACAGCAAATAAATCTCAGTACAATTAGAGTTTCCTCCTTTTCCCCAGGGTGGCATCCAAGCTCCAGTAGACTTGACCTCCACACAATCATAGTGGGCACTCTCTACAGTCTGTCTTGAGGAATGCATTTCCCTAACTTTAAACAGCACATTTTGCATCTGCAAAGGCAAGTTTTCCTTCCAGTCTTGTTGTGAAGTCTTCCTCTTCCAATGCCTATGTCCCAGCCACAGGTCTCTGTAATCCCCTGGCTAGTGCTGATGCTCTGGCTTAGCCTTCTTTCTTTTGCTAGGAAGTCATGAAGGTTTTAAAGAAATGTCAACTCTAAGATAGACAGGGGCTGTTAAAAATATTGCTTCGTGCTCTGGCTCTAAGTCCTTTTCTGACGGTCAGTGACTTGAAAAGTTCAACTTTGCTTTTGTTTGTTTGGTTTTCATTTTCTATGCTCATCACCCTATGTCTATCCAAGTAATTAAAAACCTTGTGTAGAACTCTTCCAAACACACTCTTTCAGAGTCTTCTGAGATTGCTGAAATCAGCTATGACTTCTGAGATGCCATTTTAACCCTTCAACCAGTATTGTTACAGGGTCACAGTCCTAACTCTATGTCCAGGGTTTTCAATCAGACATTCATAGTATGAGACATCTGAGAAAACTCCAAATAGGATCCCACGTCTCTTCAGGGTGACTCTCAGGATATAACTCAAGATGCTGTGCTAATGGGAATCGGGACACGCTAAGACATTCTACCTTCTGCAGAAAACCTTCCTATTCATTAACCTCACTGAGGGTTGTGTTCTTACGTCTATATGGCCTTTATTTTATCACGTAAACAAAATCTTGAATTAATTCTTACTTTGTAAGTAGCCACATGTTCCTGGAGGAAATGGATTTGGGAATGACTCTTGGTAGCTTCTATAACTCCTGAAAATAGCACATAATTAACTTTCAGAAGAAAGAGTTGGAAGATCTGATAGATTTGCTGCAAAATAACACTTATAATACATTAATACAATAAGACGTAATTCCTAAGACAGTTTAATGCCTTTAAGATGTCGTTTCTGAAATATACCAATGCAGCTATCATTTTCTTTCACATGTTAAAAGCAATATGCCACAGATACATACTCAAAAGACATTCTCCTTGAATGAAAACATGCAGATAACGCTAATATCAACGCTCTGATCAGAACTGAGATATGTGAAATGGCTCTATCAATTTTAACATATTATTTCATCACAAACATGTACATGATAGAGATAATTTACAAAGAAATTATTACCTCCTCCACCCACATACAACTGTCTGTCATAGATAAGAGGAGACTTCATAAGAAGGTACTTAAGAATGTACATATATAGGGGCTATATTATATATACTGTTTTGTAAGCCATATTAGAAGTTTTTGTTTTGTCTTCAGCAAAAGAAAAAATTATTGTAATTGCCTTCACGTGTAAGTCTGTACAAGAAATCTTAGCAGTTTTTAAGGACTTCTTAACATTCCATTACATAGGTAGAGTACAATATATTTAACTTATTCCATGTCGATGTAAGTTTTTTCTAATTAACAGTTGCGAGTTATGAAACAAATATGCTTGTAATATGTGCTTACTTGCAGGGCTCTTTTCTTAGGATTAATTGTTAGAAATGGAACTGCAAAATCAAGCAAAATGTGTGTTTCAAGTTCTGGGTTTTTTTTGTTTTGAGACAGAGTCTTGCTCTGTTGCCCAAGCTGGTGTGCAGTGGCATGAACTCGGCTCACTGCAACCTCTGCCTCATGGGTTCAAGCGATTCTCCTGCCTCAGCCTCCCAAAACGCTGGGATTACAGGCACCACCGCCATGCCTGGCTAATTTTTGTATTTTTAGTAGAGACGGTATTTCATTATGCTGGCCAGGATGGTCTTGAACTCCTGACCTCTTGAACTGTCTGCCTCGGCGTGTTTCAAGTTTTTATACAATTTTTTGGATTCCCTTCAAAAAAAGGATACCAAATTATATTCCCCTGAGATGAGTATGAGCGTGGCCAACTCTTATGAGAGTGCTCGACTCCCAGCACTGTGATCACCATACTGTGGTATTAATCCTAACATTTGCCACCTTGATATAGGAAACTGTCATATTATTATCAGCCTTTGAAGATTAGTAATAAATTTGGCATTTTAATATACTTATTAGTCCTTTGCATTTAAAAAAAATTGCCTATTCATTTGTGTAGTGGGGTGGCAACCTCTGTTTCTGTTTTGTAAATGATTTTAAATTTTTTTTTTTTTTTTTTTTTTTTAAGACAGAGTCTCATTCTGTCAGCAGGCGCGAGGCTGGAGAGCAGTGGCGCGACCTCGGCTTACTGAAACATCTGTCTCTCCAGCTCAAGTGATCCTCCTACTGCAGCCTCCAAAGTGGCAGGGACCACAGGTGTGCACCACCATTCACAGCCAATTTTTTATGTTTTTTATAGAGGCAGGGTTTCACTACGTTGCCCAGGCTGGTCTCAAACTCCTGGTCTCAAGTGGCTCATTTGCCTCGGACTCCCAAAGAGCTGCAATTATGGGTGTCAGTCATGACACCCAGCCCTTCCTTTCTTCCTTTTCTTTCTTTCTTCCTTTTCTTTCTTTCTTTCTTTTCTTTCTTTCTCTTTCTTTCTTTCCTTCATCTTTCTGTCTTTTCTTTCTTTCTTCTTTTTTAACTTATTATTTTAAGTTCAGGGGCACATGTGCAGGTTTCTGATATAGATAAACTTGTATAATGGGGATTTAATATGCAAATTACTTTATCATCCATTTAAGCATAGTACAGGATAAATATTTTTCATGATCCTCTCCCTCCTTCCACTCTCCTCCCTCGAATAGGCCCCAGTGTCTGTTGTTCCCCACTTTGTGTCTGTGTGTTCTCATCATTAACTACCATATAAGTGAAAACATGCTGTATCTGGTTTTCTGTTCCTGCATTAGTTTGCTAAGGATAATGGCTTCCAGCTCTATCCATGTTCCTGCAGAGAACATGATCTTGTTCTTTTTTATGTCTGCATAGTATTCTGTGGTGTATTCTTGTTCCATTAAGTATGCTACCAACAGCTTTTCAAAAGTTTTCATTTTTTCCCTAATTTGCCTGTTTTTTTATTGAAGTTTAAAATATTTAAATTGAGTTCATGACGATTTGAGTTTTCTGTTATGATTCTGACAAAAGAAAATTATGAAAGCAATATTTTCTTCTAATTTTATAACCTCTGTAGGAAATCAGCTTTGATTTTGTGAATGATATGAGGCAAGATGCTTAGCAATATTTTTCCAAAAAAACATATGTCCCATCATCATTTCTTGAATAATCTATTCTTTTCCTATAATTTAAAATACATTATTATTTTCATCACTGGCCATGTGCTAACTTTGGATAGTATTTATTTAAAAAGAAGACAGCAAAATGCATTATAATATGATTGAAACATAAAATAACAAACCGTATGAGATGAGAAAAACAATCCCATAAAAATCACTACTGCAGAAATTGAACCAAACTTATTTCCACATTTGTGAAGTATCTCCAAAATATTAATATGAGTTCTGTTCTGGGCCTGTAATGGCTGATGTGTAAAGCTCAGAGACCTGTTAGGAGCTGCAGAAAAACTGGATCCCAAGAAATAATCTTCTCAAAACCAAAGCAAAGCAAATCCAGCCCATCATCACTGGCACCTGTGTAGAACACAGCACCGCTGTACATGAGAGGCAGAATCCAGGACACACTGATGCAAATTCCCGACACAGACACGGTGAACTTGGTAGGGTAGACCAAAGGGTCAGTAACCGCAATATACCTGTCGATGCAGATGAAGCACAAGTGGAGGACAGAAGAGTAACAAAATGCCACATCACAGCAACTGTGAAAAGTACAAAATTTGGCTCCAAAATACCAGCAGCTCTCCACAGACCTGACCATACTGAAGGGCATCACAGTCACACCCACCAAGAAGTCAGCACAGGCCAGAGAGGCAATGAGGAAATTGGTCGGAGAGTGCAGCTGCTTAAAATGAAGAACAGAAGTCATTACTAAGAGATTTCCAAAAACAGCCAGCAAAGACCCAAAGCTAAATGCTGGTACAGAATCACCCCAGATCCAGGAGAATAGGGAGTTTTAATACAAGATCCATTCACATCCTCATAGCAAAGCTGCACAACAGGTTGGAGAAAATTGCTGGTCATGGTTCTGCTGTTTGCTATTTCCTTCCTTCCTTGTGACAGGTAATTATAATCTTGAATTCTGAAAATTAAAATACAACAAACTGCATATGTAACTACTTACAAATATTGTTCCATATTGTATTCTTTTTCAGTTCTAATCTAAAGAGAAATTAAAGGAATTCAAAGACTTAAAACATAATTCTGTCTTTAATCTCATAATTATTTCTGTCACTATGTCTAAACCTTGTAGTTAACCCCAAGCAAATCTACTATGAATTTTCATCAGTGCAGCAATCACATTAATTGAGTAATTGAAGAAATGTAATTTAAATACCTGTTTTCTTTTTACACATGTGAATCTCTTCTTTGCAAAGGATGATCATGTATAATATAATTACATATTTAAGAAGTCACCTTTTAAAAAGCTTTCATCTCCTAGGACGTTTTAGGAAGCCAGCCAATCCATCTTACCCATTATAAATTCTTCACATGGAATCCCCACAGTGTAAGGTGTGAATCATGAAATGAATCCCACTTTTGATAATTATAATTAATAAGCTCTCCTACGATAGGAGAACTATTTTTCTGCTCTGCTACTCAGTAGAAACACTTAGGATTTTCATAACCATGAGATTTCTTTAAGTTCAATTGTCCCGAAAAAGCCTAACCTAGTATTTGACAATATTATCTATTCCTTATTTACAAGACTGTCTATATGATTTGTTGCATTCAGCACAAAATAAAATGCAGAGACCCTTGTTCAAAACTACGGAGAAAAAATGTCATTAAAGGTACTAAAATAGAAAGCTTCTACCTTTCTTTTATGGACTTTCTTGGCCCGTCATAGTGTTTGATATTTGCTATGTAATGGCCCATCTCCTTGGATAAAGAGTATTCGCAGGGCAAGTGAAGACTCTCACAGGTGTCTGCATGTCCTGCCTTGCAGCTCAGCTTGCACATGGCCCACCCACTGCCAGGTTCCCCCTCCTACCAGCTGCTGAATCAATACGCTGTAGTCAGGACGGGGGCAAGAAGCCGAGCCAGGCATCTACCATTCTCACAGGTCTGCTACCTCAACCAAAGGCAGACAGATGACCCCCAAAGGATCAAAACCTGCACACCGGAAAACCCTCAATACCTGGATTGGAGATGATGAGAGGCTTGCACCTTCTGAGGAGCTTATTAAACATGCTGTGACCCTGCCAGCCAGAGATGGGGACAATAGTCTATGCCTAGCACTGAGACAGTGTGGGATGAGCCTGGCTGCAACTCTCCCTGTGATGCATCCAGTCTTCTGCAGGGGTGAAAAGAGGATGGCAGTGGTCACTGGTCTGAGCGGGTAGGAGGAGACTAGATGGAGCCCAAGATGCCAGAGGGCAGGGGAGCAGGAGGCTGAATCGCCTCCCAGGGAGGAAAGGACAAGGTGTAATGAAAGGTTACTAGTGGTCTGAGGTTCCAAGCACCCAGCACATGCTCCACTGTCCCTTCACTTAAAAAGACAGAAATTCAAGACAACAACTATGAGCATGGAACCCTAATCGTATGCCTTTGTGCTGCTGTCCCAGTCTTACGCCCATGGGATAACTCTTCCTACTTCATTTCAGATATTAAATTATCTCTTTGTAATAGCAGCTCAGTGATGAAGCAAAGAATACCCTATGTGGAGGTAACTGCGAAATTTCCAGACAGGATGGTATAGCAGCTGAGGTCCAGCCAGTTCTGATAATAACAGCCTTTCCTGACATACAGCTTTGTCTTCATAATACTAACAGTAATTTAGGGGATGAGGAAGGGAGATTAATGAATGAAGCTCCATAAAAAGGATTTCAGGCCTGGGGGGAAAAATAGAGAATTTTGATTCTCTATAGCAACTATTAAGTAGGATAGAGACCTTTTTCCTTCACAACAGTATATATAGGATTGAAAATATAAATATGATATGCCAGTTAAAATAAAGGTACTAAAAATATACAGGAATAAATTAATACATATACCAAAAGTGTGACATAAAAATCATTCGGTTGATCCTCTACAAAATTATTTTCAGCAATGCTATTTTACCTTCCCTTTAATTCTCAAACCTAACGTGATCTCACCCCACTCTCACTCAGTAATCTTGTGTCTCTATTTTCTGAAATGTGACACATGCAATTTAAAGACACAAGAATGCAGGGTTCAAAGCCGCGGGATGCAGGTGAGAGTCAAGGATGATTCCCAGGTTTTCAACTTGCCAGTCGGCAGGATACAGTAAGTAGGAGAAAGAGTCTAGAAGAGAAAGATTATGGGTTAGGTTTGGACTGGTCAGAGGAACATAAAACTGAAGTTCTTCAGGAGCGAGTTTTGCCTGTGAGTTTTCAGCTCAGGAAAGAAATTGTGCCAGAAACAGCCATTTAAGATTTCTCACATTCTGATGTTTCGAAACCATAGAAAGAAATGTGATTGTCTGATGCACATAGTCAGGAGTGTCCAAAGCCATAGACGTGTTAAGTTAAATGAAAAAAAAAAAAAAAAATAGCTCACACGTGAAATCCCAGCACTTTGGGAGTCCAAGGTGGGCAGATCACAAGGTCAAGAGATCGAGACTAACCTGGCCAACATGGTGAAATTCCATCTCTACTAGAAATAAAAACAATTAGCTAAGCATGGTGGCATGTGTCTGTAGTCCCAGCTACTCGGCAGGCTGAAGCAGGAGGATAGCTCGAAAATGGGAGGCAGAGGTTGCAGTGAGCTGAGATCATGCCACTGCTCTGCAGCCTGGCGACAGAGCGAGACTCTGTCTCAATAAATAAATAAATAAATTAATTAAATAAAGAATAAACAAAAAAACTACAAGGCACTAAACGTGTGTTTTGGGAGAGGGGAGAACAGAAGAAAAATAAAAACTGAAACTAAACAAACCCACTCATTTGAATGAAAATAAGAAAGAAATAAAATGAACAACCAAAACGTGAAACATTCCAAAAGAAATGCATTTTATAGAGTCGTAGGATGCATCAGTGCATCAGATACTCAGCATTCATTGACAGATTACAGTGTGCACAGTGAGAATAGAAGGAGCAGAGGAGCACCAAGTTCAAAGTTATGCCTGCTGAAGAAACAGTAGGCAGAAATACAGAGAGAAAAACAGGAAAAAGAGGTCCCATAGACATCATGGAATGAAAAAGTTCAGGTAAGGAAGGCATAGCCAGGAGTGTCCAGTGCTGTAGATGTGTCAACTTAAATGAAGACAGAGAATTGTTTGCTGTCATTAACAACCAGATTAGTGATGAGCATGATTGGACTTCTTCTGGTGGAATACTGGAGACAGAATCTAGATTGCAGTGGCTTGAGAACGAATGAGAATGGAGGGGGAAGGCAAGTGAGATAATGAACAACGAATGAGAATGGAGAGGGAAGGCAAGTGAGATAATGAACAACGAATGAGAATGGAGAGGGAAGGGAAGGAGATAATGAACAACGCATGAGAATGGAGAGGGAAGGCAAGTGAGATAATGAACAACGAATGAGAATGGAGAGGGAAGGGAAGTGAGATAATGAACAACGAATGAGAATGGAGAGGGAAGGCAAGGAGATAATGAACAATGACCAATACTGCTCAACGGTACAAAGGAAGAGAGGTACATAGTAGACAGCAAGAGACATGAGTTCAGAGAACATCCATGTTGTTACTTATGTTTGGGTTTGGTTTTATTATTTGTTATTTTATTCTGGGGTGTTAAAGAAAAACTGGGGGAAAATATGAGACCAGAGATTGAGCTCCAGCTGGAAAAGTTTTACTGCGAAGCAGGGAAACAAGCACGGATCTAGGCCCTGGGAGATTGGGTTCAGGGGAGTAGAATAGGGCAGTTTCTTAAAGCCAGAGGGCCATGAACTTACTGATTGGCCGGTGATACCTGGGCTCGTTGGTTAGGTAAGCACCAGAACTGCTGGAGGTGTCTGCAGCCATACATGGGGCATCTGCCATGGGATTATGGCATTATACTCCTTTCCTATTGCTGCTGTAATAAATTCACCCAAATTTAGTGATTAATCACAGCACAAATTTTTTATCACATGGTCTTACATGACGTGATTTCTGGAGCTTAGAGATTTGAAATGGGTCTCACTGAACTAAAATCAAGTTGCCAGCCAGTGTTGCATTCCTTTCAGAGGACCTAGGAGAGAATCTCTTTCCTGTCTTTTTAAGCTTTTTAGTATTCCTTAGATTGTTGTCCCTTCCTCCATTCGTAAAACCAACAGCATAGCATCTTGAAGTCTTTCTCTGACCTTGACACTGACTCCCCTCCCTCTCTGTTACATTTATAATGACTTGCGATTACATTGGGCCCACCTGGCTAATCCTGGATAATCTCCTCATCTCAAGACCCTTAATTTAATCACATCTTCAAAGTCCCCTTTGCCATGTAAGGAAACACATTTACAAGTTCTAGGGATTAGAATATGAACATCACAGTGGGGACAGGAGGGAGTTCGCATTTTTCTGTCTACCACAGGTATCCACCTGCTTCTGCTGCTGGCAGGAAATGTGATCCATGGATGACGGTGTCCCGCTGCTCCTGTCACCTCTGTGAGATGCCTGTCACCAGGTTTTTTTCATCCCATAAGACATAGAAGTCAGAAGTCAGAAAAGTTAGAAGGATGAGCATTCTTTTTCAGGGGAGAAGCTGGTAAACAAAACTCTCAATTTCTTACCTTTTGAGACCAAAGAACCAGTTGAAGTAAAAAAGTTAAGATTAGAAAATATACAGGCTCAGATAAAACAGTTTTTTCCTTTTCCACCTTTACTTCCCAGACAAGATAAAGATTTCATTAGGACCTTCAGTCAAGATGGTTCAGTTAGTTTATTCATCAATCCCTGTGTTTCAAATGCAAATATGGAAAAGGCAGGCATATAAAAAGGAAGAAAGCTACGGCAAAGCTCATAAATAAGATCATCTTCTCAGTGTGCACGAGAAGATACAAACACAACATGTGAGCAGAGCTGAAAATGAGGACCTATGAGTTCTGCAGTTTCAGAAGCA